CCCTCAACAAATATAGAGGTAGAAAAGCTGTGGTATACTCACAAAATGGAATATTATGTAGCACTGAAAAACAATGACCTCATGAAATATCTAAAATAGGTGACCCTGGAGGACATTATATTGAGTGAAATATCTCAGTCACAAAAGGACAAATACTGCATAGTATCACTGTTATAAAACAGGACTGGCAAGGGGGTTGGGGGGAAACTAAGAAAAGTGGGGACAAATAATGCACAGACAAGGAAGAGACTATATTAAAGGAATGTGGGATAGGTATTATTGGCATGACAAGATTCCAGAATAAGAGCTGCATAGTAAAGTAGATGGGGGGGGGGAGGAGGAACTTTGTAACAATTAAAGAAAATTTTTTCCCCCCAAAGAGAAAAATTAACTGTGAGGGATGGGGGAAAGGAAGAAAATGTGCAACAATGAATAAATGGAAATCCAAGTTCTCTATAAACTTTCATAAAAATCTAAAAAAAAAAGGAAAGAGAATTAGTGAAGTTCAGAAGACCACAATGCCTCCATGAGGGGGGCTGTTCTGTTTTTACAGCTTCTAAGCAAACACTTCCACTTTCTACCTTGCTCCCATTGCTGATAACTACTAACAGTGTCTATAAGCTTGCGAATTGCGTGAGATCACGTGATATTTATCCTTTTTTGAGGACAATTCCCTTTAATAAGACATTTTCAAGGTTACCCATGTAGTGGCATGCATCGGGACATTATTTCTCTTTACAGCCAAGCAGTATTCCATTGTATGAAATGCTTACAGAGTAAATCTCCCTGGCCCAATTTTGTTTTGATAGAAATTGCTATATATATGAAATGTAATGGAAAATTTTAGAGATATATTATAAAAAAGCAATAAAGTATAAAATGGCCAGAAGGCTTTCTCCTACACCCAATAGCAATGGATCAACTTAATCTAAAGTCACAATCTATTTATCAAGACGGAAGAGCTGTCTTCAAGACATGTAGGCTTTCCCATAAAACTGCCAAACGTCATTCATGGAATACCGTCATACTAAATACAGCCCCACAGTAAAGCTGTTCTAACAAAAGATTCCAGATTTCATTTTCCATTGTTTGCAGGAACCAAGTAACAAACTGACTCATGGCAAAAGAACTTAAGAGAGAAGACTGCCAATCTTTCTCCATCAGAGCTACGGTAAGTTAGCAGCACAATTCCCTACAGTCTTCACCGTCAGAGCGCCCTAGTCCTCCACTACAGGGAATTAATCACATTCACCCACATAATAGTGACTCTTCTTCCTCAAAGCTGGACACTCTGGAATTCTAAGTCACCAATTAATTAAATTATTAATAAAATGTGTAGTATCAGAAAAACAACAATCCCAGGGTCATGGTTAATAGCCACCAAAAAGTCAAGCGTAATTTGAAGGTTTATGAAATATCAAATCTTTCAATAATCATAAAGACAGTAGGTAAATGACTCATTTGCTTTCACTTGGTCTGCTGAAAAAACAAGCTCATAAATTTTATTTCCAATGAGATCTGACAGTCTATAGATCATGGATTAGGCCTAATAGGGCATATAACAGCTCCAAGAATCATGAAATATGAGACTTGAAAATGTGAGACTCATGAGATAAGTGATTTTTAAACATTAGAAATGATAAAGGTTTATTACATTTGCCTATGACACTGGCTTGGGACCTGACCTATAATCAAAGCTAAAGAAAACTTCAGGAAAATCTCTGGATGGAGGCTCACACATCTCCTTAAAAAGGAAGCAGTGCTCCTACAACAAGGAGAAGATAAAATAGATGAATGGGATCTTCTAAGAATCAAATCCCTATGCACATCCAATAACTTCTCCAATAGGGTTAAAAGGGAAGCCACAGACTGGGAAAAAGTATTTGGTAATGACATATCAGATAAGGGACTTATATGAGAATTTATAAAATACTTGAGCACCACAACAAGATAAAGGTAAATAATCCAATAGAAAATGGGCACAGGATATGAACAGACACTTCACCGAAGATGACATCCAGACGGCAAACAAACACATGAAGAAATGTTCAAAATCCCTAGCTCTAAGAGAGATGCAAA